CATTTACGCCTAGGCTCATCGTTGAACTCAACACTACTACTACTAGGAGTGGGCTGTCTCTCGGTGTTTAAAACAATGTAAAAAAAAAACGAAGCCGAAAATAGGGGTGGGGCATCTCTCGAGATTTTACGGTAAGTAAAGTCATCTAGAGCGCAGTATGTTTCTCTTCAAAATCAGGCCTCTTCATCAATGGAAGTACGCTCAGGTCTACCACAGGAAACCGTGCTGGGACCATTGTTATTTCTGCTTTATATTAATTATTTGCCTGATTGTATTAACTCAACTTTAAGATTGTTTGCTGATGACTGTGTTGTGTATGCTAGAATAACTAATATAACAGATTGCATTTCCTTGCAATCTGTTATATTTCCTTTCAGCATTGAGTCTTGGTGTCGGAAATGGCAGATAGAGATTAACGTTGACAGAAATAAGTTTCATTTAATTTCATTTCATTTAATTTATTATACCCTTATAGCGCCGGGTAGGAGCTTTACATAAAGGGGGCGGGGGCAAAAACAACAATAGAGATACAAGTCAACAAGAGTTAGGAATTTTTTTCCTCCTTCCGCTTTTTTTTTTTACATATTGTGAAGAGTGGCAATTGCGGAACGAAATCTAATGGGCTCTTTTACTGTCACGATGTCGTCGGGGAGATAATTCCAGTCTGATATAGATAACTGCAAGGGAGAAAATTTGAAAGTGTTAGTTCTAGGAGTGGCAAGCTGAAGTTTCTGTGAGTTGTCTGTGCGTGCCGATACATGGTGGGCAGCTGGGCAATATTTTTCTTGCTTTGAGGGTGAATGATAGTACATGTGATGAAGGGCAGTAAGTCGTGTTATTTTACGTCGGTCAGCAAGAAGGGGTATATTAGTTTGTTGTTTAGTGTTGTTATACTTGTACGGGTATAATCGCGGAGAACGAAGCGGATGGAACGGTTTTGAATGACTTCTAACTTGTCAATAAGATATGACTGATGCGGGTTCGTGGTATTCAGCACTAAACAAGTTTCCTCTGCATTCAATCACAGTTTATTTAACGCCTGCATAGAAAAAGCTATGAATTATAAATACCTAGGAGTTTTTCTAACCAATAGCCTCTCTTGGCCACGTCACATCAATCATATAGCCGCTAAAGCTAACAATTCTTTTGGCTTTCAGCGTTGTACTTCATATCTCGCATCTGAAGAAACTAAACTTGTAGCTTATAACGCCTTAATACGCCCCATATTAGAGTATGCTTCTGCCATTTGGAACCCCCACCAAGTATTTTTTGAAAAAGAGTTAGAATCCGTCCAAAACAAAGCTGCACGTTTCAACCTAAGAATGGAACGTGCAGCTTTAAGGGCAATATAACCACTCTGTAAGCGTTACCTTTTTGAAGTCAATTCTCCTCCTTCCTCTAAGAGAACGTAGAGCTGTATGCCAACTAAAACTACTTCATAAACTTTTCTATCACTCTCCATCTCGTAAGTCTATTTATTGCATACCTGCCTTTTTCATTTCTCGCCGACTTGACCACTCCTGCAAACTTCAGCTAGACACTCCCAGGATTAATATTTACAAGTTTTCACCCTTAAGTAGCTCGCCATTAAAAACTTGAACATGTTACCAGAAGCCGTTGTCACGATAACAGACCCTCAAAAATTCGCCGATGCTGTTATTGGTTACCTACATCTGTGATACGATCATTGAATTGATTCTTCTTTTTCTCTTGTGGCATTATTGTATTGGGTTTCCTGCCAGTGCCCCCTCCCCCCTTCCCCTTTGTAATACTCCCTCGTGGGTCTTAAGGGGGACTAATAGATGAAGTAAAATAAGTGTCTCTGGCACTGCGTATGAAATCAACTTATCAATCATGCTAATCTCCACGCGCCTCTTACAATTATATAGTACTTCTTGCGTATTTCGAAACAGGAAAATTATTCTTCAATGCCTCCAAGCTCCGTCACCGCATGGGGTAGTGGTACGAAGATGTGCGCTTGTTTCGTCGGTGTGGGCATAGCGAAATCTCGGTAAAGAAGAAACGTCGCTATAAAGCTACTCGCCACCAGCGAATTTGGATTAACTCACAAGAATGGAGAAATTAAGGAGAAATTTTTCATTTCAAGAGCCGAAATTTGGACCATACGGGAAGCTTGGCGTTACTGAATTCCCACAATCCAGTTACTTTCAAACCATACATGTTAGAGCATTGGTTCTCAAATGGAGGTCCGCGGACCCTTCGGGGTTCACGAAGGCATTCCTAAGGGTCCGCGAACCACTGCCTCATCAGTCAAGCCCGGCAATAAAAGTTGACTGTTTTCCGGATCGAGAAGAAATGTTTCAGTTTTCGGGTGAGTTTTCTAGTGCTAAGTCAAAAAAGAGGTCTACTTCCCACTAACCCTTACTTATATCTATTTATTAAATCGTTATTATATTTAACCTATACCTTTCACCTCCCTTCACCACAGACGGGGTCCTCCATCATCTCCGCCGATCCGCAAGGGGTCTGCGAAATATCGATGGTTAAGAACCACTGTGTTAGAGTTCCGAATAATTGGCGACATATACGCAATCCGTCGGGTGACATTGAGCTCGAGCCCGATCTGTGTCTTCGACGTTCGGTCGTTGAGGCCACGAGCCAGAAGACATACTTGGTACTGGACGAATTTTAGGTATCCAATACGGCACAACAATGAAAACCTTAAACCGCCCAAGGGTCAAGTTTTTCTTTTAATGAAAACAGCAACATGCATTCGACTTCGCTAGGAAGCAATTATTACTTTGTTTTTGTGACATAGCGAGTATTAGGTCAACAAAAACACCTCGGTGATGCTTTGCCCGTGGGGTCATTTTTCTGCAACAGACCTTCCCCCCTCCCCTTTCCCAAGTCTGACCTATAAACTCCCTCCTGGTCACGCTTGACTGCTCAAAAAGGAGTGACAAAAGAAAGCACATTGAAACGTAAAGAGGTTTCATTTCGAGTTTTAAGAATATGGAAGAAATTTTAAGATCACTATGAAGTTTTAAAAGGATTCTATGGCTCTTATGAGACATATTTGTTACGATCTGTGTTAGCTAATCACCTTTGTTATATTGCCTCGGATTAGTATTTATTAAAGTTCATTCTTTGTGCGTATTTGTTGTGAAAATATTGTTTATGTACAGTCGCCGGCCATATGAGCTCCCCCGGCCGAACGCCGGCCGGAGCAGCGAAAATCCCGCATGCGGCGCGTCGAGCGTCGCCGCGTTCTGGGAGCCGGGCTATTGGGACCAAACCATTCCGCTATCAAAGGGGTGGACGCAAGAAGTTTAATAGCATTACGCGTTTTGGAATGTGAATCCGAAGCACGGCCGATTTCAATCCCGCTTCCGGTTGTATAGGTAAACACAGGCGGTTTATCAAAATTCTTCACTGCATAATATCTCTGACGTGTTATATGATACTTTTTTATTTGAGAAACCTGTTTGTAATTTTAAATAGTTCCTACCCGAAGAGTAATCCTACGCGCAAGCCCCCCGCCCCCCCCCCCCCCCCCTTTCTTACAATCTTTCTTAAACCTAGACTAGACAATGACAAGCGATTTTGAAATAATTTATTTAATCTATAAGGATATGCTAGAGATAACAAAAAAAAATGATTTGTGTCGAAGCAGAATAAAGATTCAGGCACCTTTCATGAACGCGTTTTATCGAGGAGACTGTATTGCTCTGCGCTCAGTAGCGTGTTGCTTCGCCAAGGGTGACTTTCTACACGATGACTTTGCAAATCGCTTCCTGGTCGGCCACTTCACGCTTGCCGAGGGATCATTGTTGTCATGCCTAATGTCATATCAAACATAGGGTTTTTACATTTGTAAGCATCGATCGAACACTGCTGCTTTACCTACGCCTAAAACAAGCTCCAGTTTATAAGCAGTTATAACATCATCTCCGAACACTTGGGGACAACACCCGAAGACGGCAATTCTAATCGGCCATGTTTTTGTGATTCACATTTCGAAAGACTGGAATCCCGATAAAAGCTATGCGTCCACCCCTTTGATAACGAAATGGTTTGGTCCCAATAGCCCGGCTCCCAAAACGCGGCAACGCTCGACGCGCCGCGTGTGGGATTTTCGCTGATCCGGTCGGGGTTCTGCCGGGGGAGCTCATATGGCCGGCGACTGTACGCCCTATATGGGCCCCGAGGGTATTGTAAGAAATAAATTAATAAATGTAGCATGAAAACAATTATTTTTTATTTCTAGGTTTAGCCCTTGGAAAATATTTTTAAACTCTTTACTGAGCGAAGCTAGTAAACCGTTGTTACTTCAAAAGAGGGTTTTACAGAGTGTAGAAGCGAACTGAAACAAAATTATCGGGGAATTCTCACATTCGTCTGCACGAAATAGTCAATAAAAAACTGGTCGCCGATGATTACTTTTCAAAGAGTGGATGACTACTAAGCACAGTACACAAAATTTTCCCCGTACAAAAAAAAAGAAAAAGAAAAAAAAGAAAAATGAGATTTTTTAACGCAAAAATTAACTACGCATCGCCGAGCTCTCTCTATCCGCCCAAATGTAGCGCTAGAGGTCCGAACCAGGTGCCAAAGTTTCAGCACTAACCGTTATCTTACTTAAAAAAAGTATAAGTGATTTTCTAAAAATTTCAATGGGAAAATGGCGGCGATGAAGCTCTCGATTACAGGAAGCTCTATGGCGCCAGAAACTGCAAACGGGCGAAAATGGGCCCCATTTTCCCATTGAAAGTTTTAGAAAATCACTAAACAGTTAAATAAGATATCGGTTCGTGCTGAAACTTCGGCATCTCGTTCAGACCTCTAGTGCTAAACATGGGCGGAAAATGAGCGTTTGACGATGCATATTTAATTTTTATGTCTAAAAAAGAAAAAGAAACAGAAAACAAGAATTTATTTTTGAACATTTTGTACATGTTATACTACGAACCCTTTTACTAAAAACAGTGCAATTAATTGCTGGAATATCATTTGACCGTGCAACGGCGTTGTGCTTGTAGGTGAAAGATCGCCACAACGGTAACCTCCTGCTCGACGAAGACGGCCACATCATCCACATCGACTTCGGCTTCCTCTTTGAGAGCTCGCCGGGCGGGAACATCGGCTTCGAGCCGGACATCAAGATCACCGAAGAGATGGTCATGATCATGGGCGGCAAGCAGGAGGCTGAGCCGTTCAAGTGGTTCACCGAGCTCTGCGTGCGATGCTTCCTGGCCGTGCGACCGTACCAGGAGGACGTGGTCACTCTGGTGTCCTTGATGCTTGACACGGGACTGCCCTGCTTCAGGGGGCAGACCATCAAGTTGCTCAGGCAAAGGTTCGCCCCAGCGGCCACGGAGAAGGAGGCCGCGGCCTTTATGATGAAGATCATCAACGACTCGTACCTTAGCATCCGGACCAAGACATACGACATGATCCAGTACTACCAGAACCAGATTCCTTATTAGGTACCCAGGAGCTGGTGGGGTTCGAGTTTGTGGCGGTAGCCTTAGTGAGGTCGGTGTGAGGGATGGTGCCCAGATTGGAACATCCCAGAGGCGTTCGTAATTGGGAGTCAATCCGGATATAGAGTAATGAGCATAATTAAGACCGCCTACAACACAGCTCGCTGTGTAAAGCGGTTGGGTCTACGGGGACTCGACAATAAAAAAATACGAGCTTTGTTTAAGATAAGTTTAATATACAGTTCATGAAGAAAGAGAGAATGCGGTATTCAAACTTCTGAAAAACATTGGAGCCTTTAAGATGAGTGTTTTATACTATAATTATTTAGTTGATTAAAGATAATTTACGCAACTCATGTCTATAGTATTTTGTCTCGACAGTAGCTTGAAATCGTCCGCGACATTTTACAACGAAGCTGTATTCCTCTAACAGCATAGGAAATTTTTGTGTCATCGTTGTAAGCAAAAAAAAGAAAAAAAAAGAAAAAAACTCTTTGCGAACAATTTAAGAAAAACAGCATATCTCATTTGAAATCAAGCGTTCACCATACAGCTCGGGGTAATGACCAGAGCAATAGCAACCTGCTCCCCTATCGTGATTTCGTCTCCTATGAGGCCGGTTCACACATACAGCGGAGCGCTACGTGAGCGCTCCAAGGAGCGCTCATGTGGCGCTTCCTGGCGCGTGATGTAGCGCTCTGTTAGCGCTTCAGAAGCGCTTTGTTTGCGCTCTGTTAGCGCTACAGACGCGCTCTGTTAGCGCTCTCACGTCCCTTGTGCCGTGCTTGCTGCTGCAGAATAGCAGGTGCACGGCGATTCCTTGGCTGTTGTTTTTCCTTTTGCATTGAAAGAGGAGGAAGTAAAAGAGCTGCTCTCTAAGCAGAGGGTCGGGCAGGCAATCCAGAGTCATGGACTCTGAGCGACTAATTGATTGGGTACGACCTCATAGCTTTCAATTCGATATGTGTGACGCTGGTTTCAAGGACACGCAGGTAAAAATAATCGCCTTCGAAAGAGCTCTGTGTCTCCGTCCCTCAGCCTAGGAACAAGGTTTGCTGGGTACCCGTCGGTATCTCGGTAGCGAAGGATTTCGCGCACCCAGAAGGCTCTTCTGGGAGTTAAGCCGTCCACACAGATATGCACTGATCGCGCATGTAAGAGCATTTGTCGCATTTCTATTTCAGCATCCCACATGTCCGCCATGGTGCTGCTGATGCACACCCAACCACAGAAACCGAAACCGCTGTGCACCTGCTAATCCGCAGCACCGCGGTACAACAAGCGCTAATGACGCGCTAACACGGCGCTACTGAAGCGCTAACAAAGCGGTACTGGAGCGCTAACAAGGCGCTACTGGAGCGCTAACAAGGCGCTACTGGAGCGCTAACCACGCGCTATATTAGAACGAAGTCACGCGCTGGAAGCGCCACATGAGCGCTCCTTGGAGCGGTCACGTAGCGCTAACTTAGCGCTCCGCTGTATGTGTGAACAGGCCTATATAGTGCGTAGAGCTGCAACTTGTGAGGTACTATCTTGATCATTGCATGCCACGACTACCACTTCACCGGCACTAACTAGGGCTGCGTCTGTGTATGCTACGCTGTTAGCGGTCTTGTTCTGAAGCATATTGTCAAGCGCTTTGGCACGTGCTTCTCGACTTTCCTTGTGCTTCGTGGGGTGCATGTTCTTGGGAAGTGGGCGGACGTCGATAAGGGACCTCCAAGCGGGTGGTGTTTTCCTGGACTCTTTTTTGACAAGGATGGGGGTGAGATTGAGTTGGGATAGGATGACCCTTTCTGGAGGTGTTTTGCCGAGCCTGAATAGTTGGTTGACGCAGTGGGCCTCAACCAATTCCGTGAGCGTGTTGTGGGCGCCCATCTTTATGAGTCTCTGCGTGAATAACGGGGCTGGAAGATGTAGGGCCGTTTTGGTAACTTTTCAGATGGTAGTTTTCACTCGGGCTTGCTCCACTTCGAGGAGATTTATGTAGGAAGCCACGTGGATTATGCGGGATATGGTGAAGGCTTGCACCAGGCGAAAGGTATCTGCTTCCCTCATTCCCCTATGTCTAGTGGTAAACTCCGAATCATATGGCCTAGTTGGTCCAATTGTTGCTTGAGCAGGTGGATTTGATGAGTTCATTTGTTGTTGGTTTGTATGTGGAGGCCCAGGAGTAAAACTGGCTTGTCTGTCGGGTATATCTTATGGCCTTCTATGGCGAGCTAGCCTTGTTTAACTGTCTTGAGAGTTTCCTCTCTTTATAAGGAGTAGTGTTGCCTTCTGGGGTGCACATGTGAGACCCATTGTGTGCACATGTTTGGTAATTGTGTCTGCGGCTTCCTGGAGTGTATCTTGGAGAGTCTGTATTTGAGACTTGAGCTCACTATTTTTTGAGAAGTTGCTTCACCATGGCTGAGGGAGTTGGTCTTGAGTTGGATCCAGAGGCGATCCTGGCCCAGGTGACCTGCGGTCTGTGCGTGGAGCGGCTGCGGCTCCTGCTATGGTTCCTGGGTGCAGGTTTCTGTCTTCCTCTGGTTTCACTTTGTCGATTTTAGCCCCTCCCACCAGGGAGCGGGTCTTGGGGTTTGGTTGGCCAGGATCGATGTCTGTTCTGACATTCCTTGCTTCGCGTAAGATGCGCTTCCCCGCATACAGCACATCTCGGTTCACAAGATTGATCTGATGAGTGAAGTTGGCCACATCGACCGCACATTGGGGCATACATCCTCCTATGCTGGGTGCTTCGGCATCTGCTGCACTAAAGTGTAGATTTCATGAAAGGGTAGCAGCGGAGCTTTTCTCCGGCGAGAAAATTATGATTTCCCCATTCTTCGGGCTTGCATGAGTGTGGCGTCGTGGGCGCAAGTCATTTCCATTAGGTAGTCGGAATCGGCTTGGGGGGGGGGGGGGGGGGATGCCATGAGTAACTTTACACACCGAGTCGCGGGGGTAGTTTGATGAGCTCCGAGCTCGTACACCCTGCCACCAAGGTGAAGCACGGTCAATGTGGCTAAATTGCGGGCTGCTGCTTGGCTGGGTGTGGTTATTATTGCGATGTTTTGATCCGAGTCGATGCGAACTTTCCACGCCTTGGATATCGCGATCGGAGCCTTAATGGTGAATTGAACGGCAAGAGAGAGCTGTCGGGGCTAATTTCAGCAAAGTTGAGCCCTCTCGGGCGAATAACTACTCCTTAATTGCTCACCGGTAGAGGTGGGAGTTGTGGCTTTCTTTTGGCAGGAGGTGGCGGGCTTGAGGAGCCGGCGGACGTGCTTCTCACATCAAGCAAAGAGAACCATCTCAGTTTTTGACTGCTGTCCCAGTAAAATATCATCGTTCTAACGAAGACGAGATTTAGGGTATTGAGGGAAGCTCGATTCTTCGACGATGATCTTTGCACGAGCCATCAACCATGTTGACCAAATACGGGAATAAGCCAACGCCCGCGACTCTGATGTTACCATGCCTGATGTGACGTCACGATACAACCAGCCATGCATACCTTTGAAATTTTACGTGAAGTTTTCTATTGATGTTCATAATTAATTTAACGACTATTGGAGCGTCTTCTAATGAAATAAATATCACATATGACTATACTTGGCCCGCTCTACGTGCCCAGAGCAAACACTTAAAAACTTCCGGATATCACCGGATAATCCCTTTAAAAGGGTACGGGAACAAAGTGACTGTCTACCACTCGCTTCAAAATCGGCTAGCGAAAAGCGCAATGCGTGTAGCACTCGTGACGTCAATACTGTAGTGGCAAGTGTTGCCGCTTGGTGGCGTCAACGCGTGACAATCTTGCCTAGAAGTAATATTTGAGGACTGTACGTTCTATGGCCTATATATATAGCTTGCCCGTAGCGTCATACGCGGTCCTGTTTTATGTGCGACGAGCGTTCGGTTCACCGCCTTAATTTCACCCCGAAGCTCGAGGAAACCAGTAACTAGAGAGAACCGCCAACGCCCAGCAATGACAACACCTGCAAGCTATATATGTAAGGTATTCACTGGGTGCCATATTTGAGCGCGTTGTTCACAGCGCATGAAAAGGGGGAGAGGAAAGGGGCGGGCGGGGTTGTCTTGGCAAAGGTCTGTGCATTCTCATATCAAGCTCCTGCGTAACGTCTGCAGAGAACGACGATCTTGATGGTGTAGAATGTACAGTTGCCGCGGGAGTTAATAGCTCCACGCGAGCGCACGTTTATTTCTGGGGGGCGCTTGACTGGTGGCTTGCGATAAAACTAGAGATGACGTTAGGACGAGTGCGTGCGGAGTGGACGGGGGAAGCCGCTCAATTCAAGGGAACCCTTGTTATCATCTGCCTGCGGTGGGTGAGCGTAGTTTGAATGAAAAGGGTAGATGATTCTGCAGAAATGAAAAAGGCGACATGTTTCCTTCTCTCTTTCCAAGCAGCCATCTCATTCCTGGTCGGCGATCTTGACTTCTGCAGAATCATCTCTCCTTTTCATTCCAACTACGCTCATCCGCAGGCAGGCGATGATAACAACGGTTCCCTTGAATTGAGACGGCTTCCCCCGTGCACTCCGCATGGACATCGCCCTAACGTCATCTCTAGTTCTATCACAAGCCACATGTCAAGCGCCCCTAGGAAAAAAACGCCCGCTCGCGTGGAGCTATTAGAGAGTTTTAGAATAGGGGGCCCCAACGCTTTGGGGAACCCAAAGCTTCGGGGTACCGAACGCAACGACACCTCACGCAGCGTGCTAATAGAATAGGGTTTGTGACGACGCAACGCGGCACGCTCGCCTTTTTCGCATGCAGCGCCATTGTGGACAACGAACTAACTTCTTAACAATGAAAAATTATTAAAACGAAAAACATTTACGCTGAAACGACACTTGATTGTGGCTTGCGGTTCAAATAATAGGGAGGGTAACACCAGTTGGAACGGCACAGCAAGACCCATCTGCCGACCGTCTCTGAATCAGAAATTTTACTTCTCTGGTCACAAGAGAGTGCACGCCCTCAAATACCAGGCTATCGTCTGCGCCAATGGAATTATCTGCGAACCAATGGAATTAACTGCGAATTATCCCAAAGCTTTGGGGCCCCCAAAAAATAGGGGCTCAGCACTGCGCATGCGTAGAACCCAAACTCCGTTTGGGGTTTTGGGTTGGCGCGCGCCCCCAACGTGAAATTCGAGAAATAACGTGGGGCCCCCAATTGCTTGGGGCCGGGTTGTGTCGGCTAACATGACGGCGCCCTTTCCGCTCGCTTCGGTACAAATTCGTCATGGTCGCCGCAGTATTAGCAAATTTCATTGCCAATGAATAGTGCAACCGGCTTTCGCTTTGCTTTATCTCGCTCAAGTCGCAAAGAATGAGCGGTGGGCTCGCCCCATTTTAAAGATCGTACATGATTCTTGTTATGTCGGGTTCGCGGAAACAAACATTCCGTGGCGTCAACATTTATTGCGGGCCAGACTAGCTCCAACAACGGTCTGTGTCCGACTTGATGTTCCACACGCGCAGCAGCGCAGAACGTGATGGCGCATGCATCCCCGGTTGCCAGACTGCTCGCCGCTGGCACCGCCATGCGGATGTACTAAACACACGAACATAACACCCCTTCCCCCTAAGTTCAGGCTCAACACTCGGCCAGTGCCAGCACAGTCTCGCAGGCGGGATGGGGCTTTCCGAGCTCGCTGCGAACGGCGCAGGGTCGCTGGTTCAGGATCCCCCTCTAGTCCTTCTGGCGACACTGGCCGTGGTGCGGTCGTTGGCACAGGTTGGGACATGGTTGTGTCGCCTGCAGAGGGTTCAGCCGTTGGCTGCTCTTCCAACGAACTCTCGGCTGGCTCATTGCTCATTTGCCCTGGAGGTATCCCTCGCCGAGGATAAACTTCCCTTGGTGATGGCCCTTGTGTGGGGTAGACCTCTGGCTGTCGTTCTGTTGGTGCCGGTCCCTCGCTTGTGCAAGGCGCCATTGCCCGCGCCGGAGCTGGTCAACGTGCCGCCGCAACACCCTGCCATCTGGGAGGGTGACTTCGTAGGAGATTGGCCCGGTCGCTCGGCCAATCACAGCGGGGACCCATAGGGGGCCACGGCCATAGTTGCGTGCAAATACAGGGTCCTCAGGCAGGAATGAGCGTGGCACTGGCAGCAGTCCTGTTTGCTGGGATGACTTGTCCGGAGCCCTGTCGGGATGAAGCCGGTCCAGCATGGTCGATACCCGGCGGCCCATTAACAGTTCGGCCGGTGATCGCCCCGTGCTTGAGTCTGGAGTTACATGCTGCTGTAGCAAGAAATTTGCCAGTCGCCGTGACCAATCTCCCTGCACAATGCGCGACAGAGCCTCCTTGGTGATTCGCACCATCCTTTCAGCCTGGCCATTTGTAGATGGATGAAAAGGTGCAGATGTCACATGGCGGATCAGGTTGGCCTCAAGAAACTGCCGGAACTCGGCGGACGTAAATTGAGGCCCATTGTCCGACACTACTGTGTCTGGAAGACCGTGTGTTGCGAACAGCCTCCGTAAGGCATTGATCACGGTGAGCGATGTCATGGATGACACTGCGATGACCTCCAGCCACTTTGAATAGGAGTCCACTATGATCAGGAATGTCTTTCCTTGGAACGGCCCAGCGAAATCAATGTGCAGGCGACACCACGGCGCCCGGGTCGTCTCCCATAGATGGACTTGTGCTCGGGGAATCTCTGGCCGTGTTTCCTGGCAGGGAGAACATCGTCGCACCCATTCCTCGATAGCCGCATCCATTCCTGGCCACCATACATAGCTGCGGGCAAGTGCCTTCATCCGAACAATTCCTGGATGTCCGGCGTGCAAGGCTTCGAGAATCCGGGACCGTAGCTTCAGCGGTATCACCACACGGTCACCCCACAGTAAACAACCTTTGTGGGCAGACAGCTCATGTTGCCTTGACACGAATGGTGTGAACTCAGAAGTGATGCTGTGCCTTGGTGGCCACCCCTTCCACACCCAGTTGAGTACACGAGACATGGTACGGTCCCTTGCAGACTGTGTGGCGATGTCAGCGGCTTGGAGTGGAGGTTCTGGGAGCATGTCCAGGAGCATAATGGTCTCTGCTGGGGCCGGGTCGTCCTGGTGCTGTTGCATTAAGGGAATTCTGCTGAGGCTGTCTGCGTGGCCCAGCCGCTTCCCAGGCCGATGGAGGAGAGAGTACTGGTACCCATTTAGAAATATCGACCAGCGCAGCATCCGTGGTGACAACATCTGCGGTGTCTGACGGTCTGGGGTGAACAGCCCAGAAGTGGCTTGTGGTCCGTGTGGATCTGAAATTGGCGGCCCCATAAGTAGTCATGAAACTTTCTTACACCTGCGACCACTGCAAGCGCCTCCTTATCAATCTGAGCATAATTGCGCTCGGTGGTAGACAGTGTCCTGGAATAGAATGCGATAGGTGCTTCTTTCCCATCAGGCATGTGGTGACTCAGCACAGCTCCTATTCCGTATGGGGAGGCATCACAAGCCAGGATGAAGGGTTTCTTTTCATCAAAGTGTGTTAAGACTTGGTTGAATGCCAAGAGCTCTTTCATCGTATCAAAGGCTCTCTGTTGTGTTCGGCCCCAGGCCCACTTAGCATTCTTGTTCAATAGACGGTGCACTGGTTCTGCAATGGTTGCTTTGTGGGGTAGGAAAGCATGGTAGAAGTTGAGGAGTCCCAGGAATGCCTGTAGTTCAGTCTTGTTAACAGGGCATGGGGCATTCATGATGGCCTCGGTCTTTCCCGGTGTCGGATGTATTCTCTCAGCGTCAACTCGAAACCCTAAAAAGTCTACTTGTGTCACACCGAGTTGGCATTTTTCTTTCTTGACCTTGAGCCCTACGGCTTGAAACCGCCGTAGAACGTCACGCAGGCGAACGAGCAGTTCTTCCTGTGAGGCTCCAGCAATAATCACGTCATCAAAAAAAGCGATGACACCCGGTAGTCCCCTCAGGAGGTTTTCCATGAGACTCTGGAAGATGCCGGGTGCGACACAGACCCCAAACTGAAGCCTGCGGACGCGGAAAGCTCCCCGATGAGTTACGATGGTCTGGGCCTCTGCTGCTTCTTCGGTCACTGGCAGCTGCTGATATGCCTGTGCCAAATCAAGCTTTGCAAAGATTGTGGCACCTTCAAGGGCTGTCAGGAGATGGCTCACGACTGGCACTGGGTATGCATGTTGCTGCAATGCCCTATTAATCGTGCACTTGTAGTCTGCACAGATGCGCACATCCCCATTTGCCTTCAAGGGCGTGACAATAGGTGTTTCCCATTTAGCTTGATCCACAGGCTCCAGCACCCCTTGTTGTATTAGCTTGTCTAGCTCGGTATCGATTTTCGGCCGAAGAGCAAAGGGTACTCTTCTTGCCTTCAACCGCACGGGCATGACCTCAGGATTGAGTGAAAACTGCACAGGTGGTCCTTTGTAGCATCCCAACGCTCCATCAAACACGGACCCAAATTCCTTAAGGATGTTACTGATCGCATGAGATGGCTGGGTGATGTGCTGCACTCCTATGATGTTGATGCCCAGGGCTGGGAACCAGTCCAGCCCCAGGAGGCTCTGACGCTCACCCTTGACGATGACGAGACGCAATAGGCCATCAAAGTCCTTGAATTTCACCCTGAACATGCCATAGCCATGCACTGCGATGCGGTTGGCCTGATAGTCCTTCATCGTGATATCCAGTGGTTTCAGGGCTGGCAAGCAGCCATTTGGGAAGATCCGCCTGGCTGTGGCCTCAGAAATGAGCGAAAAAGTTGACCCAGAATCCACCTCCATTTGGCATGGCTTGCCCTCGAGCATGACCTCCACATGTATCTTCCTCAGGGCCGGTGCGGTCACATCGTGGATAGCAGTCACGGTTTGATCGTCGCAGTAGGCAATGTTTGTGCGAGTCGTGGCCCTGACGCGGGGCGTCTTGCAGTCCGTCTCAGAATTCTGGCGGTAGTCCCGTGGCCTTCGGGACCGGCAGACTCGAAGTATATGACCCGTTTTTCCGCAGCCCCTGCACTGGGCATCCCGGAAACGGCACAGCCGCCGTTCGTGGGAGCCTCCGCAGCCAGCACAGAAGGCGCCTCCCGTTCCTTCCGGGTCCCTCCGCTGGTCTATCCTTAGGCGCAAGACGTCCTCGGCGGCGTCTTGCTCGTTGTCGATACCCGCGCTTGTCCCTGGTGCACGGGCTCGATGCGTGGTGCGCTTACGCTTGGGCGGGAGTCGCGGCAGGCTTCCCGGTCGATGACCTCGGCAGCGATTGCTTCCTCGACAGCACTGGCGAGGGTCACTTCTTTTTTAGCCAAGAGTCGTTGCTTCACTTTGTCGCTCCGCAACCCGAACACAAAACGATCCCGGAGCGCAGTGTCGAGGGCGGTGAACTGGCAATGCTGCGCTGTGGTACGAAGGGCAGCGAGGTTGGCCGCCGCAGACTGTCCCTGTGCCTGGTCACGGCGATGGAACTCGTGTCGCCTCGCAAGCTCTGGAGGCTTCGGGGCCAGGTGCTCCCTCAGCGCGGTGAGGATTGTTTCGAGGGGCGTATCCCCGAGCGGGGCCGGCGCCACGAGCGCTTTGGCCAACTGGAACGTAGCGGAGCCGCAACGGCTGAGGAACGTCGCCCGCTTCTTACCGGCATCTGTGATACCTTGCGCATCCAGGAAGAATTCGAACCGCTGTGCATAATCCTCCCAGTCCTCAGGTCGGGAGAAGTCGAAAGCCTCGATGTAGGCCTCGGTGGGAGCGGTGGCCATGCTGAGCGGCCGGGCAACGGAGTTAGCTTTCCTTGGCGGCCGCAGTGCCGCAGTCCTGCAGGAATCCCGTCTTCGTCGCCACTGTTATGTCGGGTTCACGGAAAGAAACACTCCGTGGCGTCAACATTTATTGCGATCCAGACTAGCTCCAACAACGGTCTGTGTCCGACTTGATGTTCCACACGCGCAGCAGCGCAGAACGTGATGGCGCATGCATCCCCGGTTGCCAGACTGCTCGCCTCTGGCACCGCCATGCGGATGTAAACACACGAACATAACAATTCTGGTCGTTCTTAAGCCTAAACATACGTCGTAACTGTTGACATGGTGACGTGTTGCTACTCCGTGGCTAAAGGCTCGTTCACACAGACCCGTTTTTTTTACGTTACGTTACGAAAAGTCACCGGGAAATCTGTGCTTAGTATTAAACTGTGCCAGCCGCAGGTCGACCCGGTCGAGGATGGCCCGCGTGGAGAAATTTCTTCCGATTGCTTCGGAGACCCTGGAATCCTGGAATGGGTTAGTGGCGTACACTTTGCGTAGCACATAAATGTCATCGTCGATCGAGAAGCAAACGCGCGCGGGAGCCTTCTCTTCCGCCATTTTTTTTTGACCTTGGATCGGCCTCGACTCGTTCGGCCATCCCGCTTCAGGTGTAGCCGAAACAATCCAATCCGTAGCGCTCTAATTTAGCGCTTGTCCTCGTAGTAACATAGAGAATTGAGCTAGCTGTATACTTGGAAGACATACCTAAAACAGCGCACAAGCACAGGAGGAAGATAACAAAACACAGGAAGGGGAGCTGACTCCCAAGTTATGTATTGTGAAAGAAACAAAGAGAAAGCTTCAGATGTGAAGCCCACGTTGTTGTTTTAGAGCGCAGCTCTTAGGGGCCCGTTTCCAGCCTGAGCGGCGTCGCCGTTGGCGTCGCCGTCGGCGTCGCCGTCGCCGTCGCCGTCGGCGTCGGCGTCGGCGTCGGCGTCGGCGTCGGCGTCGGCGTAACCAAGCCCCTCCCTCTCCTCCTCCTCCCTCTCCTTCTCCCCCTCCTCCTCCCCTCCTCCTCCTCCCCCTTCTCCCCTCCCCTCCTCCTCCTCCCCCTCTTCCTCCTCCCCCTCCTCCCCCTCCTTCTCCTCCTCCTCCCCTCATTGTCCGGCTTGAGTGTCAAGGAGGAAAGCAGTGCGAAGGTGGAGGAGGGGGGAGGAGAGACGAGGAGCCGGAGGCGAGGGGGGGGAGGAGCTTGAAGGACGAGGAGGTGGTAAAGGAGAGGGAGTGGGAGCGGGAGGCGAGGAGGACTAGCAGGCATGATCACGAGGGAGGAGGAGGAATATACCCTCCACTCCTCCTCCTCAAGAGCTGCGCTCCAATTCGGCGTTACAGGAAGTTGTAAACGGCTTTCACTTTTTTCTTTCTTCCTTTTTCTCATCTTTTTTTCGTCGTGACCTTATAATGTCAGTTTTCTCCTTTTCTACTGCAACTTAGTAATGTATCTGTTTTTATTCTTTCTTCTTTTTACCTTGTGGATGCGCGTGGGGCTCCATGTCTGAAGCTTCCTCTTTTTCTTTCTTTCACAATACATAAGTTGGGAGTCAGCGCTCTTTCCTGTGTTCTATTTTCTTCCTCCTGTGCTTGCGCACTGTTTTAGGTATGGCTCGTTCTCGAATTTTTGGGCGTTCGTGTGCGCTTTGACCATCTGCAGCCGAGGATTTAGGCCTTGAAGTATGCCGAGACTGAGACGAACGCGAGCGCGCATACTCTGCGAGCAGCTGCACTATTGAGATCTGAGCTGGAGCGACTTTGAAGCCTTGAAATACTTGTTTTCAAGATGCAGGTATCGTGCCACGAACGAAATCTACTCGGAGCCACGGAGTAGCAATACGTTGCCATGTCAACGGTTACCGCGTATGTTTAGGCTTAGAAACGGCCAGAATCGGGGACGATCTTTGAAATACAGGGTGAAACAAGGAGACGCCAAGCTCTTCGAACCAGCCGGAAAATTCGGTTTCTTAACCTATCGCGTTACGACTTTGTGCAGCGTTGCCCCCAGATGGTGCATTTTTTTTTTGTAAAATTTGCAAAGAGCGAATTTACCTGAGGAAAAAGTAAAGAAAGAAAAAGGCTTAGCTCCTATTAAAGCCCCTTGATAAAGGCGTTTTTTACAAGTACCGCCAACCATTGTTGTGGAACCGCGCGAGACACGTGCCACGAGCGGGTGCTCCGCCGCCATTCGCTTCCTAGAGCCGCTCAATTCAGTGCTGCGCCGCCATTCGCTTCCAAGGGCCGCTCGAGATGCGGGTCTCGTGCACTCGCGCATTTGACGCTACTTGCACGACAAACGCAAACATATCGAGGGGCTTTAGCTCCTATGGAAACGCAGCGACGCCACCGGTCTGCAAACAACACGGCTGCTGTTTTGCACGGGAGACAAGAGATGGCGCAA